TTTCCACTATCATTAAAAACTTTAACTACATTATTCACAATAAAAGCTATTCCCTCATAAGAGAGATATGAGACTACGAGTGTACWAAAACTCAACATAGCTTCTATAGGCCGTTTAGCTAGAAAAAGCATTGATTTATCTCGCACGTGTCATTCTTCTTTCTCTTTGAAGGGTATAGGGTGGGGATGCGTAGACAAAAAATAATTTAGCAAGTTTTCYATGCCTTTACTTGATGAACACAGTATAGGTAATATACCAGTAGCGTAGCTGAAACACAATTAAGGGKAGAAGGCTATTAAAATACTTATTTATTTTATAACCTACATACTGTATCCGATGACGATATACCCATTGTGATATCTCTCGAAATAATGTAGATTTCAAAATTCTGATTTTTTAATAAGATTCACAGAAATAAGAACAACAATTATTTCATATTTTAATTTATTTTAATGTTTTGATAAAAAGTTAAAAATATATTTTTTAATTTAATTACTTTAAAAAAATTCACTATAGCCATTTATTTTTCTGAAAATATTGACATTTAAAAATTGTATTTTCGTTAATTTCCTAATTTTTAATATATTTTTTAGTTTCAAGAAAAATTGCAAATTATTTAACATCATAGTGTTATCAAACATGTGAAACGCTGCGCTGTGCACGTACTCGTATACCCAGGCGAACGCTTTCACTGTCATATTTATTTTTTTTCTAAACTAGAAAAAATATTAAAAATCAAGAAATTAATGAAAATAAAATTTTGAAACATTAATATTTTCAGAAAAATAAACTCTACAAAATGGTTATATTTAATTTTTTTACCAAAACATTAAAAATAAATTGAAAAATTAAATATTTGTAATTCTTATCCCTGTGAGTCTTATAACAAAACCAGAATTTTGATATCTCTATTATTTCGTAAGATATCGCAATGGGTAAATCCTCACGGGACACCCTATATAATCTATATATAAATATAGAAGTGCGATTGCTATAGCCTTTCCAAATTAAAGGTATACATTGATGCAATATTGTTGCGGTGAGTGATATAAATATGAATATAATATATTATATTATTATAATCATCATGGTATCAATAATACTGCCATTATCACTAAGGCATTTCCAGTAGCAAAAATGTGTATGTATTATTAAGCATATTTTTCACCACCCAATGAGTTTTTCTAAAAATGATTGCAAATTAGTAAACAAAAAATTTATTTGGTCTAGACTTTAATAAAGGCCACTCAAGACAATTGCCTTGTTTGTCCCATCTCTTAAGAGCATTACTGTGTGGTGCATACACACACACACGCACACGCACGCACACACACACACACACATATATATATATATATATATATATTATGTACATACATACATTCGCAGTATATTTACCTGTGTAATGTCTTCTTGGTGAGTATCCCAATAACCACCAAGTAGATTAGTTGCACGAATATCCCAAAATAATAAGAAAGCATCTTCTTTAAAAACTTCTGTTCCAGCTACTAAGAATCTTCCATCACAAGATATATCAAAACATGACAATGGTTTCAGTTCAACATCAGTATCATCTAAAATGAATAAACTTAAAATATACTCTAATATTTTTAAGTCTTTTTACCTTTAAAAACAGAAACACATTTTTCTTTAGTACGTAAATCCCAAAGTTTAATAGTTCCATCTTCAGACCCTGTGTACACAATGGAAGGTAACTGAGTATTGTTTGAACCAAATCTAAAAAAAAAAAAATTAGTTGAATTCTGTTCATAAATATAAAAACAAATAATTATTGAAATATTACTTGACATCAACAATTTTTTTTTCATGCTCCAAAGATGTACTAATTGATTTACATTCAGCATCAATATCATAGATATTACAAGTAAAATTTGATAGTGCTGTAGCTACTCTTAGTGATTGTCCTCTATAAAATAAAAAATTTAGACTATAGCACTATTCAATTTAAAATCTTATATTTTAGTGAAAAATATATATATTGTCATAAAGTTAACTACATTTTTTGTGCATCCAATTTTAAAATGTAGACATCATTTGAACCGATGAGTTCTTCAAAAGTTTGTTTGTATTTAATTTTGTAATTTATTTCTTTAGAGCTATCAAATACTGGTTGTTCATTAATGTCAATAACTTCATCTTCCTCCAAACTGTCTTCTTCATTAAAACTTGAACGATCTGAAGTTTCTTCGTCATCTGAACTCGAATCTGACGCATCTAAGTTGAAGACAATAGAGTTAAGCAGATTTGATTAAAAAACATTAACTAAAACAATGATATATTCTTACTAACCGGTATCCGTTATAAAATGTAAAGTCATTGTAACAATGAAAACCAGTACATATATCTTTATATAAATAGTTAATTTGTTTATTGTTTAATAAATTTAAAAAAAATAATAAATAGGTACCAATGGATATTTGAAAATTTTAAATTCGGAATCGGAAGTGATAAGAATTAAGAATTATAACATTATAAGCATGGTCTTCTAAGACCGTCATAAGTATCCAAGCAAAAACCACGTGTGTTAATATTCAGTGTTGAGTATTATCACTTATCATGGAACAATATTTTTCTGTTACATAATCACAGAATAGATGAAACAAAATATACATAACTACATAAGGAGATAAAGGGTCGTTTGATCATAGATAATATATATTATTATCTATGCGTTTGATGAATTGGAATAAATGTTATTCGGAACAATCGGAACGCGGAACTAGYGGAACAATTAATCTACAGACTACTACAACCTCTACAACTACTGAACTACGCCGTGACGATGGATCACGATTTAAGAATTTAAGATATCTTAAATCATGATGCCGGATCACACTATTTAAAAAACGCGGGAAATATTTAAATTTTAAATATTACATGGAGTCATTGACTAAATTATAATATGTTTGATTTCAATAGAATTAAGCTGGTATAGATTAATATATTATTATAATTCTATAAACTGTTAAATATTAATAAGAAAGGTTTAATCTAAAAATKTATTTCGATTTGATTTCCACGAAATGTGTTTGATACAAATTGTTGTCATTAAATGTTAGAAAATAATTTGTATTGCATACAACTTACTATTCTAGTCAAACACAATTTTGGTGATGATATCATTAAATCATGTTGTGTTTTGCATAATTTCGTTCAAAAGAGAAACGGATGTAATTATGATGAAAATGTTGAAGATACGGCTTATATAAAAAATCAAGTCCATTTTAAGGTCATGGCAGACACATTAATCGAAATGGAATGGAAATTTGAGACAATTTCGCTAACTATTTTATAAATCAAGGGGCTGTGCCATTGAAATATAGAACAACGGTTTAGTATTATGATACCTAAATCTGTACATTTTGTTTAGAATGTTTAATGTTAAACTTAAAAATTTAATTTTAATTTGTCTTATTCTTGCAATTTTTTTTTAAACTGAAAATTGGATTACCTAATTCAT